TGAAAGAATGAAAGAATGGTCAAGTGTTACTTGAGCATTCAATTAAAAAATATATCTGACTGTTGAATTATTCTGATTGCCGAATAAAGGACTAATTCTAAAGCCCCTCAGCGGTATATAGAGATTTATCCTGCAACCACCCGTTGCATTGACCTAATAAAGGTAACCTAATAAACCAAAGCTTTATCCGGTCACTGCCCTAATAAAGCCTCGTGCATGTATTCCGACGTTCCAAAAGCATTGTGACGTCACGTATATTGCAATGTTTACGCCATGGCGTCATAGTTTTCAACTGCAGAGATGTGCCTAAATCTGTCGGAAATAGCTTGTTTTGGACGTTCAAAATGTAAGAAATATGTTGCAGGATAAACGAAATACATGATAACTGTCTAGAAATATAAGCGATATTTGGGCTCGGGTCGAAAACGTAAGAGGGCTCGGCAAGCCTCGCCCTCTATCACGTTTTCTTACCCTCGCCCAAATATCGCTTATATTTCAAGTCAGTAACCATGTATTTTATATGTCTCTATATCAGTGAAATGTTCTTAAATAGGGTGTAAATAAAATGCAAACAATCAAATTGTCATCAGAACAGTTTTATTTCATTAAGGTAATCCGATCCCCAGGTTAATAAGATTAGCAGTTAAGTAATGAAAAATATCTCTGAACCAACATAGTTATACATGTATAAATATATACACAGTATTTCTTTAAAGTTAAATATTATTAAAATTAATCATATTATATAAGAAAAATTTTCAAATCTCCGATATTTTTGCAGAAATTTCTAATTGCAAATTAATCAACGAAAATATTTTAGGTTAAAAACGATATGTATCCAGGCATTCAGAGAAATTGTCATGATTTTTTTATACTTATTTTGTATTTTTGTCTTCTATTTCCGTCTTTTTTTCCGTTTTTTTACATAATACATAGTGTAAAGGGTTTTTGCTATCATTGCAAGACACCACGTGCACAAATCACTTCATATTTAATATCATGCTAATAAGCATGGGTATCTAGGGCTAGATTTAAGAAAATCTTATTTCTTTAAACCTGTACTATTTTTCTCCTTTCATATGGTCCAATGTCAACTTTTATAAAACCTTTTCTAAGACTTTCGAAAACCTTAAATCTTATTAAGATCATTGTATTGAAAATTGTTGTAAGAAAGAAATTCGTTTTCAAGCTTTTTTACATGCATTGCAAATTAAATATCAATTTTTCGAGTTATCCTTCCTGACTAAGGATCGGATATCCTTAAAATAATAATGATAACTGCACATTGCAGATACATGTATAAGTATATTTATGAGGAACAAAATAAAGATACTCAATACAACCGATATAGATTAAAACCTAGTGTAATTCAATGACCAGGACATTAATTGCTACAATAACATTTGTTGGACGGTTGGGTGAGTATTTTGCTGGTCAACTGCCAAAAGCTATAGATGTAATTTATTTTTGTATGTAAGATTTCATACAGTACCCGCATCGTTATTCTTTACAATTCTATCGTGTCCTATCGTGCGTGTATCCTATCGTATCGTGCGTGTATCCTATCGTATCGTGCGTGTATCCTATTGTATCCTATCGTATCGTGTTTTCCGTTTATCAGGTTTTGCGTTTTCTATCGTGTTTTGCGTGTATCGTGTTTTCCGTTTATCGTGTAGATCGTTTATCAGGTTCTATCGTGTATCGTGTTTTGCGATTATCGTGTACATTCGGAAACCCTCGCTTTTTATCTTTACTATAGAAAAAAACTACTGAGCTATTCCGAGTTTCTTTTTTTGTTTTGTTAACTAAAATAAGATTACTTAAACCAAAAAGGAGAAAAGAAAGTTTTATCCATTTCTTTTTCATCCTTCAAAGAAATATTAAAGCGTAGAAGGAAAATAATAAATAAATAGCGTATTTCATGAATAAATAAATTGATTAATTAATTAATAATTAAATAAATGAAATAATTATATCTTGGTAAAGTAGAGAGTGATTGTCAAAAATTAAACGGTAACTGTATTTTTCGGAATTGAAATTATAATAGATCACCAGTCTTTTTTTAAAAATAATTTATCGAATTGTATGAATTATTTATTCAAAATTAAATATTTTTAATATGGTTTTCTTAAATGAATAACAGTTACTGGAGAAAGATTTTTGGTAAGCTACGGTGTATGCGTATCCAAAAAGCAAATAAATGAATAATAAGCAGGATATTGATATGTATCTTTTTTCATGCAATATTCTTTTTTCCCCTTATTTATCGTCTGATAATATAAGTAATATGTTTACGCCTTTAAGCTGCATGTATACAAAATTATTTAAAGTCATCATGTTACAAAAATAATAAAACATAAGACATTAATCCAGATGATTTTAACACCAATTTTGGCCGTATACGTTCAAATTTTAAATTAATGTATACAAGGAAAAACATTATGTTTTTTAACAACTTACCTTTTTCGGCGTGAAAATAAACTGAAAATATAATCCATCGGGGTGTCAAATCGAAGACCTTTCCATACCAGAAAACTGACACGTATGTGTGGCTCTCTAATCAGCACACTCTAATCAGCACACTGCCTTCCTGTGCGGTCAACACCCCCTCCGCCTTCCCCCCTAACTGACACCTCGGCCCGTGTGTGTGATCATCTTCAACAAACCTTTACTGATTTCTCACCTGGGGTCAATTAGTAACCTCGAATTCTACCTGGTTCTAATGAAACGCATCTATTTATTCTCGGGATTGTGTTCCTAACTTGTGTGAACAAACTTATCAAAGATATAATTTAAAATATGTTAAATAATTGTACGATTTATGGATTTAAAAAATCATCTCATTGCTTGAATTTTAAATAAAAATTGAAATAAATCAATTTAATGAAATGAAGTCCGTAAACTCAATCCGCTGATTTATTTCATTTTGTACAATGGTTCCATTATGCTTATGTAAATACGTCTTTTAATCAACTTTAAAAAAAACTGTACTTGTGGTATATGGACTTTCGGATCATCGGGTTTTCTATGTAAGGGGGTCAAATTAATTCTAGGAAACAATTTCATTGATCGTAGAAACGGATGAAATACATGTAGTTCTAACATTCTAAACTATGAAAATTAGCTCGCATGATTTTTTTTTACGGTATCTTACTATAATATTAAAACAAAAGAAGTCGTCGTCTGATTCCGCCGTGACCATTCAAGACAAGTAAATACACCGAATCAATTTATAATATTAATCGATTTAATTCCATACACGTACGTATATAACTTTATTTAAGAGTTCAATATTATATTTGGCTATTTAGTTAGATCTTGTTTCTATTTTTAAATTGGTTAGGGACTTTTAACATCCCGCCCTTCGAATATGCCTCATATTAGATTACCGGGTCTAAAATGATTTTCAGGGTTTAATAATTCATTTGCCGACTTAAACCAATTTTTTGTTATTATTAGAAACAGTACATGCAAAGCTAAATAGCAATGACTTATACTTATTTAGTCGGAAAAGTCGCATGTCACTCTTTTAATATTTGTTGATTAATATTTGTGTTTTGTGTATTTAACCAATCAATACTCTTTAATTAATAGGAAGTTTTCAGTATCTGATATATAAATGTTTACATGTACATAAGTGAGAGCTTAGCGTAAACGTATATGTACAAGTGCAGTTGTAGGAGATTCATATTCTGTTGACATAGTTTAAATGTATTAATGCAGAGCACCATTATATTAACAATTATCTAGATTTCTATTAAATCAATTTTCTTGAACTCTTAAGTTCTTGAAAGATCCATCATGTTAAATTTATTAATTTCATTAAAGCTGTTTCTTTGAACCTTTCTTTCGGCAAGTTTTCTACTTGTATTTTTTTTTCTCTAAGATTTTCATATTTAATTGCGACTTTTGGATACATCGCCGATTGTAATCTTTAGACATTAAATACAAATATTTAATTTATTGTGTAAATTTCTTTCGTGAAATAACTTGGTACTTGTAGATAAACTTATTAGATAAAAAATTCAAATGTATATTTTTCAAAAATAATAAGTCTATTTATAGAGTTTCAAAAATTTATAATAGTACCCGTGAAAAACGGTACATAATCATGTTAGGGATTTTTGTGCAACAATTACATGTAAATGTATGCTTAAATATCTATAATAAAACGAATTATATTTCAACCTTAAGATGAGAATTTCGACATTAACACTAAATTGTAAATTCACACAATTGAGAAGAATTTTTTAAAAAAGAATTACAGTCTCCATTTCATCCTAATTCATTTAATCATTGTCATTTTTTTATATAAATAAACAAATTTTGTAAAATTACCACAGAGATCTCAAATTAGTTTATTATAATAATTAAATGTACTTAATAATTTATATTTGAAGCTCTGCAAGTATTTAAATTAAAATATTGCACTAAATAAACAAAATAATCTTTTCGTTTTGTCAGAACACGTTCCGCATTTTGAAACAATCCTATCAGGTTTTGCGTTTATCTGTCACAGGGTGAATTATAATTAATTAATTAATATTACTAATTATCATTCATATCATTTTCATATCTTATTATAAGGCATCATATTATTATAGTAACTAGTGAATTCCGTCGTCACTACGGAATTTACTACGTTCATTCACTGCCTTATTCATTCATTCATTCATTTATACGGGTGAGTGGTCAGTGAGAGTATTCGGGTGTGTGAGTGGTTAAACAGGTTTTTCTATGTCTACTGCGCATTCGCGCCAATACTAACTCCTCGAGCACTCCAACCTTAGACTTTGGGGAGGGAAGACGTTCTCTCTCCCCAACACAAACTATCTTATGATATTGTGACGAATTCAGTCTAGGACTACGGTAAGAAATAATTGTTAAATTATTTCTTAGTATTCAAGGATTATTCAGTATCTTTTTGATCATTTTATTTAACTGAAGTGAATTTCTAAATTATCTAAATTCTTAAGATTTAAATTAATTCGCGTAAAAGTGTGTGTGAGGTGAGAAATATTAAATACATGTTTTATTATATTGCAGATCACCCTTTTTCTGATACGTATAATATATTAAATAGTATCGAACCCAGCAGCCGTATTTGTGTTATTACTACAACTATAATACCTAGACTAGGCTGTGACAATGGCGCCCACACGTTGGTTTTAATTATACTTTCTTCGTTGGATTGAGGGTGATTCGTAAATTTTACAACATCGTTGGAGTTCATCATTTATTCATTATATCTTCCATTTTCCTTGGCTAGCCGTTTTGTTTTTCCATTTTCCACTACTACTATACCTGTGCGCTATTAAAACCCACTCGAGCATGACTGAACATTGGTCACCATTCACCAAACTTTTCGCCGATCACCAGCTGTTTATAGTGATCGACATGTGTGCACTCGTCCGATAGGCCTACACCGCTGGAAAACGTGTATATCTGGACATTCCGCGTGCCATCCAAAATTCCAGGGACTGTGACTTTTCCGTAGTTTAAATATTTATTCTATTGACTGTTAAATTTCATTCTATTGTGTTTAACTGTTTAATATCGTATTGTCATTGTTTATTTATATACGTGAGTGAAGTGTGAGCGTGTAAGAAAGTGTAAAATCTAAATAACGCAATTTAGTTCTTTAGTACACACTCAGGTATTACAGCGAAGTAAGTGACAGATTAACATGTCAGCATGTGCTAACATTTTCATTGCACTCTATCAACATTCTCAATATTATTTTTGAGCAGAGGAAATTCGAGTGAGCAGGTGCGTGTTTGATTGACACAGTTTGAAGTCATCATTTAGATCATTCATTTCATTCATCATAGTTATTATATTGACATTGCTAATACTTGACTAACTTTATTGAATTGTATTTAGATAGTATATCTTTAGATTTACAGGCTCCTGATAACTGTTTGCAGTATTTACAGTTCTAATATTTCAGATTACGTACGCGACACTGGTGTAGCAGTTTCAAATATTAATTACTATTTTCTTTATTACAGGTTACCAGTAATCACCAGAATTTAAACCAAAACTTACTTTTGTATTTAGTTTGTATTGAATTGTTTTAGGAGTTTAATTTACTTTAATTAGTTTCGATATTTAATGAGTAATAGTAAATTACAGAAATATTTAGAAAAACCAGTTGATCAGAAGAAATTAGTTAGTCAACCAGTATTGATTAGTACAAGTTTAGGTAACTACCTGAAAAAACATTTAGATCTATTGAAAGAATATCATTTATACTTGCATTTTGAATGTAGACCTGGTGCTCGATTTACAGATTTTTACAGTTGGTTAAATTACAATTTACGTGCTCTTTTTGAACAGTACGGCCATTTGACGTTGTATATTTGGCTGGGTACATGTGACATCACAAGAAAATTTGGTAAGTTTATTTCTTTAGTTTCTGATGATTCTCAGTCTATTGTAGAGAATGTTGTTCACCATATAGATAGTTTTCATTCAATTGTCAAAGAATTTAAGGGAGTTAAACTCATATTTTTGGAAATTCCCCCTTATTCTATAGCAGAATGGAATAAAAGCAGAGAACATTGTGATCCTGATAGTTTTCTTGCTCAGGACAAAGTTTTGATTGAAATTATCAATTCCATTAATTCTCATTTAAGGGAAGTCAATGACAAATTATCTGTTTATAGTCCCAGGTATAAGCTAGATGTTTTGAAGTATAGAAAAGGGAAAGACAAATCTCAAAGAGTTTCATTGAATTTTCAATTATATTTGGATGGAGTACATCCCGGACCAATGTTAGCCAGAGTGTGGTTAAAAAGACTTATTGAGAACATTTTTGTACATTGTTCTTAGATGTCTTAATATATACAGTGTTGTTGATACATTACTGTTATACTTGGAGCAGGTATCTGTTGGCAGGGACTGACCCAATCACAGAATTCTTACCTGTTATCCAATACACTGTATCATAGATTTGTTCATGTATATAGTATTACACTGTTGGGTTTGTGTTGGTAGGGATTGACCCAATCATACTTTTATACCTTATCAGTTGTTTTACTATTGCATGTTATATTTCTGTCATTTATTTACATAATGGCAGACTCAGGTAAGGTGGCAGACTCAGGTAAGTTGGCAGACTCAGGTAAGGAAGAATTAGGTAAGAAGAAGTTAGATAAGGTAGAAACAGATAAGAAAAAGTCAGATAACAAAGAATCAGGTAAAAAAGAATCAGGAAAGGAAGACTCAGGTAAAGAATCGGCAAAGATGCCATTAGCTAAGGCAGAAACAAAGGATGATACAGGTGCAAGTTCTTTACAGCATCACATATCTGAGGTACAAAAAGATCCAAACTACAGAGTCTTAACTAAGGAAGAGTATGATCTCTTAGTAAATGCTAGTTTAAAGCAAGGTAAAACTAGTACCCCTTTAGTTAAAACAAAGATCTCAACAATGGAAAAAGTCTTACATAGTGCAGGTAAGCCAGTGCATTTTGATTTTCCAAAGACACCAGATATCCCTCCTACCCCTACATGTACAATTAGCACCCAATACAACTTTCCAAAGTTACCAACATTTAGTGGTGCTGATGATTCCAAGCAAGGTGAGGTGAAATATGAAGTGTGGAACTTTGAGGTCAAATGCCTTCAAAATTCAGGTCAGTACCCGGAGCACATTTTATTACAGTCAGTTAGAAATTCACTGAAAGGGCTTGCCCGATCAATGTTAGTGTCTATTGGAGAAAATGCTTCTCTGAAAGATATTCTAACCAAACTTGATGGTTTTTTTGGAAATGTTGCTTCAGGGGAAACTCTTATGCAATCTTTTTATAACGATATGCAAAAAGAGGGAGAATCACTAGTAGTGTATGCATCTAGATTAGAAGATACCTTATCTAAAGCTATAAAATATGGCCATATAGATGCCGTAGCAAAAGACGGTATGCTAAGAAGTAAATTTTGGACTGGTTTGTACAATGTACAGTTAAAACAAAGTACAAGACATTTATTTGATTCAGTTAAAAACTTTGAATATCTTCTTAGGGAAATTAGAAAAGTACAGCAAGAAGAATTGTCAACACCGGTGAGAAAGACACAGAGAGCATTCCAACAAGCAGAGAGAGCAGAAACAACAGATTTACAAAAGGAACTGCAGAAACTGACATCAACAATGCAAAGGTTAGAGAGCAAAAGTGACAGTACCTCTCAAAGTTTTCAACAATTAAGCAGTAAAGTAAATCGGTTAGAAAAAATGTCAAACCAGCAAAGTCCAAACTTTAGTGGGTCAAGTAGAGGTAGAGCAAGAGGATTTGGTTTTCGTGGAAACTCTAGTAGAGGCTATGTCCGCAGACGAGGTCAATTTCGGGGTCAAGGTCATTTCAGTGTAAATGAAAATCAAACTCAATCAAATAATCAAGTGCCTCAAAAGAGTAACAATTCAACAAACTAGTTACCTCTTCTATTAAAGGGCAGATGGGGGAGGAATCTGTAAATAAAAGCCCTAAAAAGAATTTGTTGTCAAGAATGGTGGGTCAATCAAACGAAAGTAAAATCATTATTAATGGTGTTGAGATAAATGCTTTGATAGATACAGGTTCTATGGTTACATGCATGTCAGAAGAGTTTTACAACTCATTAAGTCATAAACCTGAACTTCATAGTATTGAAGATTTTGAGTTGAAAGTGTTTAGTGCAGAGGGTAGTACTTTGCCATATTCAGGTTATGTGGAAGTAGAATTTCAAGTACCTTTTCTGTCAAAAGAATCATTCTATGTACCAGTCTTAGTTATGAAGGGAACAGAATACAGTAGTAAAGTCCCGGTAATTGTTGGTACTAATATTATAAGACTGTGTAGGGAATATTATAAGTGCATAGAAACAACTATTCCAGATGAATGGGAATTAGCCTTTACAAATTTAAGTGTTGATAGTGATATGCCTGTCAAAAGCACAAATAAATATCCCATTACTGTAGCACCATATGAGGTAAGAACAATTTCTGGATTAGTTAAGACCATGGACAAGGTGAGTACTGCTATAACAGAGCAAATAGATACAAATCAAAATGGTAGTCTTGTGATATGTCCAAGAGTTGTTACAATCAAAAGTGGCAAAACTTCCCGAGTACCTGTTCGTGTTTGCAATATGTCAGCACAACCAATCAAAATAGCACCAAAATCAGTCATTTGTAACGTAAGTGCTGCAAAGGTGGTAGATACTTTAGATTCACCATTGTTAGATTCCAAGGACCATACGTCTTTTAATCTTGTGGATGCAGGTATAAAGGTTAATCATAATAACTTAACCTCAGATCAGTCAGAAAAGTGTCATAATTTTCTTAATAAGTGGAAGCACATCTTTTCTACATCTTTTAAGGACATAGGGAGAACAGATTTAGTAGAACATGAAATCAAACTAACAGATAATGTTCCTTTTAAAGAACCATACAGAAGGATACCACCAGCAATGTTTGAGGAGGTAAGGCATCATCTCAAAGAAATGCTAGATGCTGATGCTATTAGAAAATCTAAAAGTCCTTATTGTTCTAATGTAGTACTAGCCAGAAAATCAGACGGTTCACTCAGGTTTTGTATAGATCTTAGGAAGTTAAACAACAAAACTATTAAAGATGCATATAATCTTCCTAGAGTGGATGAAACAATTGACACTTTAATTAGCAGTAAGTATTTTTCTAAGTTAGACTTAAGATCTGGTTATTGGCAGGTGGAAATCAAAGAGGAAGACAAACATAAAACTGCATTTTCGCTTGGTCCACTTGGTTTTTATGAATGTAACCGTATGGCGTTTGGCTTGACCAATGCGCCCGCTACATTTCAGCGGCTTATGGAAACTTGCATGGGTGAGATGAATCTTAAGGAATGTTTGATATTTTTAGATGATATACTTGTATTTTCATCTACCTTTGAAGAACATTTAGAGAGGTTGCAGGGTGTTTTCAAAAGATTAGAAAAGCATAATTTGAAATTAAAACCCTCAAAATGTGAATTCTTTATGTCAGAGGTCAAATATTTAGGACATATTGTGTCTGAGAAAGGTATTCAAACAGACCCTGATAAAATATCAGCTTTGAAAACATGGCCTGTCCCTAAAAATATCAAATCATTACGTTCTTTCTTAGGATTCACTGGTTATTATAGACGTTTTGTTAAAGACTATGCCAAAATTGTAAAACCCCTAAATGATTTATTAGTGGGTCACCCTACAAACAAACATGCGAAAAAGTCAAAGAAAAAGAAAGTACCTTGGATTTGGGGTAAAACAGAACAATCAGCTTTTAATACCCTTATAGAAAAACTTACGTCACCCCCTATTTTAGCCTATGCAGACTTTTCCCAACCTTTTTTTGTAAATATTGATGCTAGTAGGGAAGGTCTTGGGGCTGTTTTATACCAGAATCAAGGAGGGGGAGACAGGGTTATAGCTTACGCAAGTAGGGGATTGCGCCCCAGTGAATGCAATTACCCCGCCCACAAATTAGAATTTTTATGCTTGAAATGGGCACTGTGTGATAAGTTCCATGATTATTTATATGGAAATACATTTACTGTCTATACTGACAACAACCCGTTAACATATGTTACAACTACTGCTAAGTTGGATGCAACATCGCACCGCTGGTTAGCGTCTCTTTCAAATTACAATTTTAAATTAGTTTACAAAACTGGCAAATCTAATAGAGATGCTGATGGGTTGTCAAGGAGACCGACAAAGGTAGAAGTTTTTCCTGAGATTATAAAAGCTTTAACATCCGCAGTTTTAATTCAGAAGGAAGAACTCCCTTTAGCCGAATGTTTAGTTTTATCACAGAACGCCCAGTTAAAACATGTAGAAATAGAGACTCAGAATACAGATTATAGTACTAGCAACATCAACTGGAGAGAGGAGCAAGGTAAAGATATAGCCATTAGTAAAATAGTTGAATTATTACATACTGGACTGAAACCCACAGGTAAAGATATACAAAATAAAAGTCAAGATGTCAAGGAGTATCTTAGAGAATGGAAGAACTTAGAAATTTGTAAAGGTATACGTTATAGAACAACTGTTCAAGATGGGGTAAGTATTAAACAGTTAGTGTTACCAGCACAATTCAGAGATGAAGCTTTTAAAGGAATTCATGATAATGCAGGACACCAAGGTAGGGATAAGACATTATGGTTAGCAAAGCAAAGATTTTTCTGGAATGGGATGGATAATGATATTAAATCTAGAGTAGAAACCTGTGGGAGGTGTGTTAGAAGAAAAGTAGGTGATACCCCAAGGGCTGACCTTGTTAACATTCAAAGTACCAAACCCTTAGAAATTCTTTGTATAGATTTTTTATCTCTTGAAAGATCAAAGGGTGGTTTTGAAAATATACTGGTGATCACAGATCATTTCACTAGATATGCAATGGCTGTGCCAACAAAGAACCAACTTGCTAGAACAACTGCAAAAGTATTATTTGAAAATTTCATATGTCATTATAGTTTTCCTGAAAGATTACATTCAGATCAGGGAAGAAATTTTGAAAGTAAAGTTATTAAAGAACTTTGTAAATTAGCAGGTGTGAGTAAATCACGTACAACACCATATCACCCCATGGGTAATGGTCTGGTTGAACGTTTTAACCAAACTTTGCTAAAGATGTTAGGAACTTTAGAAAATTACAAGAAAGATGATTGGAAGTCTTACATATAACCGTTGGTTCATGCTTATAATGCAACCAAACAAGAAACAACTGGTTTTTCGCCACATTATTTAATGTTTGGTTGGCACCCAAAGTTGGCCGTTGATGCATTTTTAAATTTAGACACTTCTGAAATATCTGATAAGCCAGTTAGTCATCAAACTTATGTTGACAAATTGAAGAAAAGATTAAATTTTGCTTATAATGTTGCAAAATCCAATGTTGAAAAGAACTCTTTAAGACATAAAGAGAACTACGACAACAGAGTTCGATTTTCAAAATTAGAAATCGGAGACAGAGTTTTAGTTCGTCTTCTAGCAAAGACTGGGAAATGCAAACTATCTGATAAATGGGAAAAAGATCCATATGTTGTATTAGATATTCCCAGTAGTGACATTCCTGTTTATAAGGTACAGAAGTCATCTGGCAAAGGACCAGTAAGATTACTTCATAGAAACTTACTGTTACCTTTTATGTTCTTGTCAGATGATGACTGTCTTTCAGATAACAAAACCAAGAAAAGTAAAATCAGTAAACAAAAACATACTGTTTCTGTAGAAAGTGGAACAGATTCTGAATCAAGTGATTCTGAATCCGAGATATTACTGGTGACTACACCAGCAAATACAAACAAATGTAATAATGTTTATAACACTTCTCGTGTTAACCATAATACTCATCTCAATAGTTCAGATAAACATATGAGATCAGATGGTTGTACATTTAACACATTTAATATGTCAGATTTTAGTAGACCTATATCAAGGTTAGAAGATACTTCTTCCGTTGACCCTGGATATCAAATTCAGGACAGTGGTTCTTTTAATTCAATATCGAGTACAAATTTATCCGAAACGCGTGATAATTTGTCGCGAGATTGTACATCGAGCCCGTCTACTATTCAGCAAGGTATAAGACGTTCCACTAGAGTAAAAAATCCTCCTAATAGATACGGACAATGGGTTATAGGTGAGCATGAGGCTCAAGTATGGTATGTCTAGGAGGAGAATGTCACAGGAATTTTACAGACAGGAATTTCAGATAGTCAGTTGTATATAGTTTTATGACGTAGTATTATTAGTAGTAGTATATCTTAAGTTAGTAGTGCTAAGATGTACTGATATATTTGATAGTTTTATGACTTACGTGATCGCTAGTTGATCATATTACTTATATTTTATGATGTATTATTAATCATGGATTGCTTTTCAGCTTAGCCATTCATGATGCCAGTTTTATGATAATTATACATACATGAATTGATTGAATAATTTTGTATTTCAGCTAATGCTAATACAAAAGGCTTTCTTTTCTGCTACAAAGCAGAAGATGTTGCAAAACATTAGAAATCAATTGTGTGTTGATATATTTAATTATTAATAATTGTTTTATTTCAGTTGATATATTTTGTACTCTATTATTTGATGAAATGTGAGGACACATTTTTCTCAAAGAGGAGGAGAATGTCACAGGGTGAATTATAATTAATTAATTAATATTACTAATTATCATTCATATCATTTTCATATCTTATTATAAGGCATCATATTATTATAGTAACTAGTGAATTCCGTCGTCACTACGGAATTTACTACGTTCATTCACTGCCTTATTCATTCATTCATTCATTTATACGGGTGAGTGGTCAGTGAGAGTATTCGGGTGTGTGAGTGGTTAAACAGGTTTTTCTATGTCTACTGCGCATTCGCGCCAATACTAACTCCTCGAGCACTCCAACCTTAGACTTTGGGGAGGGAAGACGTTCTCTCTCCCCAACACAAACTATCTTATGATATTGTGACGAATTCAGTCTAGGACTACGGTAAGAAATAATTGTTAAATTATTTCTTAGTATTCAAGTATTATTCAGTATCTTTTTGATCATTTTATTTAACTGAAGTGAATTTCTAAATTATCTAAATTCTTAAGATTTAAATTAATTCGCGTAAAAGTGTGTGTGAGGTGAGAAATATTAAATACATGTTTTATTATATTGCAGATCACCCTTTTTCTGATACGTATAATATATTAAATAGTATCGAACCCAGCAGCCGTATTTGTGTTCATTATTACTACTACAATACCTAGACTAGGCTGTGACATATCCTATCGTGAAGATCGTTTATCAGGTCTATCGTGTTTTGCGTTTATCGTGTTTTGCGTGTATCGTGTTTTGCGTTTATCGTGTTTTGCGTTTATCCTATCGTGCGTGTATCCTGTCCTATCGTGCGTGTATCCTATCGTATCGTGCGTGTATCCTATCGTATCGTGTATCCTGTAAAGAATAACGATGCGGGTACTGTAAGCTTCGCAGCATTATCTCAAATATCTTAATGCTTCTTGAGTTTATTTGTAAAAGCTTGATAGATACGTTAAGTGTAAGCCCTTGCAATTAGCCGATTCATTAGGACCTTTCTAGTTCGTTGTCAATTTATCTGCATACACATATATAACAGCATCATTTTTTCTAGAAAGACCGAAATAGTATTTAGATAAAATAATAAAATAAACATCGCATCCAAGTTAACAACTTTTTAATAGCTGCAAACAATATTTTATTTGATAACAAAAGACATTTTTCATTGTACAAAATTTTACTTGATCAGCCTTTCACTGTAAACAAACAGCTATGGCTTTTACTAGATGTCGTTACATTGGCAAGTTCATTGCAATTAATACATCGTTGATATTTTGTTTTTTGGGATTTTACATAAGACAAAACTGCGTGTAATAATTAGCTCATATGTAGTCTTAAACCATCTAAGGGGTATTCTAAAGATCTAGTATTTTTGTTTGATTTCATACAAGTAGTAAACATTTTCCGTATAAATCAGGCACCGCCCCCTGTTTTGTAACCTACATGTAACTGTGCTGCGTTCCGACGATTTTCAAAAAACAAAGTGTGGATTTTATTATATACAGTCATTCATATTTTTTTTTTAAGATTAAGCTTAACGTACCAGTATTTACATACTTAAATTTCATTTTTATCTTTTGTTTGCATGACTGATTTGCTTCA